AATTTTTTTATGTTAACTATGTATGAAAATTAAATTCATATATTAAATTTAACTTTCCTAACTTATTATGCATTTTTTAGTATTTTGGATTACAAATGAAAAATAACTAGAATTGCCGATTGCCTGCAGCTTTGGCAGCAGGCATCTACAGAGTCTTTATTCTTTACTCTCCCCCTGGACAACTATATTTATTATGTGAAAGAGAGAGAGTTGTTTGTTTTATCTACAAGTATGTAGTATGTGAGTTTCTCTGTGTGCTGCTGCAGCTGTCGGTTTGTTGAATGAAGATAATAAAAAACAAGAATTCAGTTCAGACCCTATGAAAATTTAAGAGCTAGATTTTGTTGTCTATAGGGCTGGACAAGTCCATTGAATAGCCACTAGATCTTTTTTGCTTGAGTTGTATTTTGGTCTTTTTAAGTAGAAGTATCACTGTGTATTGCACACAGAAATTAAACATTTTTAGTAGCAGTACAAAAACAAGTATATGCTCTTTTTTATGTTTTCTTAAAAGTCTAAATATATTTTAATGTGTGTAAAGACATATAATAATAATAATAATAATAATAATAATAATAATAATAATTAGAAATTTAAAAAATTTAAGGTATTAATAATATTAAATTTTATAATTTTTAATAAAGAATATTTATTAAATTTTGATTGTGTGTTTTTGAACAAATATTAAAAAATGAAAATAAAAATTGAAGCTTTTACAAAACACTGCATCAATGACAAACTTTTTCTGTTCTGATTAGAATAACCGAGTTAATATTGTAACCAAGACAAACTTTGACCGCGAACTATACAACACATAAAACCGTTTAAAACTTCAAAACCAGGATGCTGCATGAATCTTTCTGGTTACTTCTGATGCCAGTTCCCTGTTGGTTCATTAAACTCTTAAATATTAAGTGATTAAGTCAATTAATTAATAATTAATTAATTAACAGGATCTTATGAATCCACAAGGTGTCTCTGACTGAAACATGCATTGGCCCTTCCATTTAATTGTTTATTCATTGTGTCCTTTTATCTTTTTCTTATACAATATAAGGGTATTTTCTGTTTAGCTTTTCACGGCAATCGTGAGTACGTTCTTCTTTGATCCTTTGAATTATACTTTACAGGAATTAACTAATACGTCCAAGGCAGAAAGTACAAGTCTCATAATTATAATATATTTGACCAAACCATATAAAATTTTACCAATTATCTCTTAGGAAACTTGTTAAGCTAGTTATAGCATTGTTTATTAGGAACAAGTTTTAATCCTAAGCTTTAGGTACAAAATAGTTTTCTTTAGACTTGCCAGTTTGTCGTACTAGGATGTCCGGTTTCCTGATAGACCAACCCATGTGTAGATGGGGGCACCTTACAAGTCCCGTGTTTTTTCAAGCTTTCTGCATCAACCGTTTTGTTAACTGACACGTGAAATCTCTTTGTCCTTCTATGATTAACTAATATCCAATGTACTCCTTTTCTCGTTAGTTTTTGTTCGTGATCATGCTTTCGGTTTCAAAAGTCAGGAGTCCTTTTTCACATAGCGTATAAACACCCTTTTACCTTCTTTTTTGATCCGATAAAAGTATAAGTAAGTTTCTGGTTTCTGATTTTTACACGTGTATTGCTGAAGCGTGTCACTTGTCGACTCTTCATTTCTTCCTTTTGTTGGTTTCTGATATTTCTTTTTCGTTTTTATAAAAGGCTGTTCAGGAAGATGTGGTTTGGTCCGAGAGAACATGTTCACCAACCTTGATTTGTCACTTTATTTAGAGGAAAAACAGAGTTCAGTTTCTTTTGCTAACCAGCATGTTTTGTTTATTATGGGATCCAAGGCTACAAGTCATATCTGATATAAAAGAAAGATATAAAGATAGAGTCTGTGGGCATGAAATGTTGTTATATGACACAAATGAAAGGATGTTTAATACACTCACACACGTTTGGTTAGCCTTCCATACTTATCTGGTTCAAGTTTTAACTTCATATTTAATTATAAAAGGCTAACTAACTTGTCTTGGTAAAATTTCTTGTTTTTTATTATTTTTCTGGTCAATAAAAGTCAATTTCTAATTTATATCTAATGTATTTGTCAATTTCGAGTAAAGCTAAAGATTTGTTTATTCAATGGCAGGTAAAACCTTTATATTCTTTCAATGGAACATTTTTCTTCAAGAATTTATTTCACCTTATTTAATGCACTTGAAGGACAGCACACATATTTGCTGTAGTTTCACTCGGCAGCTAGCTTTTCCTCATGTATTCTTTTATATATACATATATAAAATCTCCTATTTTAGTGAAGTCGTTTCAAAGCTAGGTTATGGCTCTGTATTTTTTATAACCAGATTAACAACATATTATGTTCATCATCTTCACATTATAGCAATAATAACCACACCATGGCTGTAGCTACTACATTTTCGGTATATTGTTTGATTGGTCAATCAGTACCAGTCTTTTTGTGCTTAGGATAAGCAACAACCTTGAATGTATGAACTAGCAGCCAAATAAGATATAAATAGTTAGAAAATACTATAGGTTTATAAGTCATTCCCTATGAGTGGATTTGTTACAAACTAGAAGTATGCTTCTTCAATTGCATTATACATATATGATATTGAAGGTCCTTTTCCTATCTTTTATCTGAACCTGAAGGAATAATTATTGTTGGCACTGTTAATCTCATTATGAAATCCACTAGGAATAAATAACGTGCCCAATCAATGCTGTGTCATGTGAGACTGTGAAAAAGATTATTAGATAATATGTATGTGATAGCCTAGCTATATATTAGAGTATGATTAGATTAGTCAAGGAAAGGGGAAAGAAAAACTGATTCAGTTAGAAGGGAGTTAAGGGTATTTGGGGTAAAGTGGTAGTTGAGTGGAGCCAAAAGGCAAAGCAACACAATAGAGTAGTTACTCCGTTGATGTAGGCTTAAACTCAACTTTTTTTAGCTTCTGTCACTCTCATCTGAGTCAGAATCGACTAATGCCCTACCCTACTTTACGACGGAAGTCTCTCAAAATTTTCCTTTCTACGTCGACAAGTTGTCAAATCCAATGGTTCAATAATATATTACCCTTTTGTTTTTTGTATTGTTTCCATGCATTTCTGTTGAAACGATAGAAGAAAGATTTTCCATATAGAAAATGACCTCCATCTTGTTTTGCTACTTTATTCCTTAATTTGCTTGGCCCACTAAAGACATTTGTTAGCCGATGGTTTCTCCAGAATGATTCAAAATGGCCACAAAACATTTTTGCATATTAAAATTGATGTTGAACTTGATAGGTGAAAGTGACTTCCTAGACAACACTATTTGAAGCACTTCAAATGTAGTCTTATTGAATTAACTAGTTCATGATTTTGTTTTATTCTTCTCCATCTTTTTTTATGTCGCTAGTAGTACAACCGACTTTTTATGCTGATTATACCTTTGTTTTAGTTTTAGCTTTTTCGTTAGGATACAAAAATTAGCAAACAAACAGTGATTGCTCTTTCTTCCGAGGCACTATGAAGAGTGTATTTAATGGAGTCTGACTCCGAGAACAACATTTGTCATGATTTTGTGGACAACTACCTTATCACTTTGTTTTTTTGTTTCAATTACATATTACAAAACTATTCAATTTAAGAGTAGTAAGTAGCTTAGGTTTTTTTTTTGTAAGGTTTTAATTTTGAGTTTTGTCAAAAAAAAAAAGCGATTATAGAATTTTGTCCCGTTGATGGATCCATTTGACTTGACTCGTATTAGTCAAGTTAAATGTAACTTTATAATGTCTAAGTGTATATCTGTTTTTGCTTAATTTTTACAAAAAAATAATAAATTTTTAAAATTTCTCTCAATGAACTAGAGAAGTTAATTATTTTCTAAGAATATGTTGAACTATGAATGCAAGTCATCACTATAGAAAAACAGAGTATTCTGCTTTCATAATTGCACTAGGAAAAAAAACCAGTTAATTTTAAAATTTTCAAAATAGAAATAAATTATAATTATTTTTATTATTTGGTAACAGTTATGCTTTTCAACAGAATGAAATGAAAATATGAAGGATAAAATTCGGAACCTAAAAGAAATGCAAAAATAACCATTTTTTGTTTTCATATTTTTTTTGGGTCAGAATTTTTGTTGTAATCAATCGCACTTCATTTTCACTATTGAATTTGGGTCAAAGGCCCACTTGTGGAACAATTAGACAACTTGTGTGTGCTTTTTCTAGTCACCGCCAACCTCTAATTGCAATCGCATGTTTTCTATTACAAGGTTGCTTTGCCCATATCTTTTGACTTTAAATTATTAGTTGAGCTTGAAGCCCATAACCAAATAAAGCTCCAATTCAGTACCTTTTTTTCTTGGGTTCTGACAAAAAAGGTAACGCGCTCTTATTTTGAAGAAAGGGTTGATCTAGCATGGAGTAATAGTGCTCTCAAAAAATTTAGATCGTAAGAAATCAGTAATTAATATTTTTTATTAAAAATATTTAATGTTGTTAATGCATTAAATCTTGTGATGTTTAATAAAAAGGTTTTTCTAACCTGTGCAACCTTGTACAGGATAAATTTCAATAAATACACCACTTAATTAATCTATATTAATTGTTTTATCATAATTTTTTTTAAAAAAATATTTTTTACTCTTCTCTTATTGGTTAAGTGGTACATAGATTAAGGTTTATTCTATGCACAAATTACAAAACTCATTAATAAAATCATTTTAAATATAAAGTTTTATTGTTTACACATTATAAAAAACAAAAAAAAGTAATTGTTCTTAATGCCTACTAGTTAATGCACTGTTTAATGGGACAACACAAAAAAAATTGCATTAATTAATGAGATATTATATTAATTTTTTTTTTTACTGTCATTTATTTCTTCCATGAATGGACAAAATATATGTTATTATGTTGATTCAGATCATTTACTGTTTTGCTTTCAGGAAATTAGTGTCTTAAAGAGTTGAAAGGTGTTACTGCTTGAGATTTCAATCAAATATGAAATATATACTTCTTCTCCTTGTCACTTTCAAGGTAAAACAAGACATGGTCCTCTCATCTTTTTTCTAGCAGTTGTTTTCTCTTGACACTAACGTTACATTTAAGCAGGAGTTGTTTGAAGAAGTATTTTAATTAATAATTTTTTCTGTTTCTTCATTTTTAATGTTACGGTATATCTGTAGATTATCAAGAAGAAACTCACAAAGCTACAGGAGGTTATGGGGTTTCAAACATCACATGGCACTAAATGGATAGCACACCCAATTTTCAAAGCAAAGGAGGACTCAACACTGAACTTGGCTGATCATACCCAAGCCAATACCAACTTAATTCCCGCTTGCTATGATTCATGGGTGGTAAGTACCAACCCAGTTAGCACCATAATATGGCCTACATTATTTAAAAAAGAAATAAACAAATGTTTAGGATTTGGACTAAGCAAGGGAACAAAAACACAATGGTCATTACTTTTTGTACTATTGCTTTTTTCATTATTTGCATCATTTATTCATTGTCACTTTGAAATTTAATTTTTGAAAGTGTTTATTTTCAAAAATGAAATTCTAAAAGTGAAACTTTTAGAAAATAAATTGAGACCCAACATTACAACTCCTAAAAGAAAAAGAAATTGGTCATGTTTGGTAAAACAAATTAAAGGTTATAATTGAAAACTTATAATTTTATAAAAAGTTAATTGAATTAGAGTAAGTAATTATAAATTATAGTAAGTTGTATTCTACTTAAACAAACTTTTTAAAAATTATAAACTCTTAAATAAACAATAAACTTGTACTACCAAACAGCCATAGAAATGTTTCTTGGTGCTTTTATTGTTTTGCCTCGGCATTTTCTTCCCTTTGCCCCCTCACAGGGCACTTTGGTACCAATTTTCTCAATAGGAGATTATGCTTGGCAACATGATACAACATATAATAATTTGTTATATAAAACATAAAATTGTGGTTTTTTTTTTTTTGAAGCGTGGTAAATTGCCATATAGGACAAACAAAGATTAGAAGTTGATAATGAAATGCGTGTCTAGTTTGCAATTGCTTAATGATTAATCAGTGATGTGATATTTGTTTGTACTAGGTAAAGCACCCTTCCGCATTGAACTCATTTGATAGACTGATGAAAGCTGCCATTGGGAAGAGGATAGTCGTATTTTTAGACTACGATGGCACCTTATCACCAATTGTCAATGACCCTGATCGCGCTTTCATGTCTGATGAGGTAATTTCATACATTACATTCACCAAATGCATGTGTGTATCTATCTATATCTATTCAAGTAATAATACTAATAACACTTTGTAACACACCTTTCACTTATTAAAATTAAATTGAAAACTACAAAACTTATTTATGTCTCACTCATTTTAACTCCTAAATTAATGTTTATCATTCACATTTTTTTAGTTTTCAATCAATTTTAGTCAAGAGTATGTTAAAAGAGAATGTGTTGCTGGATTTTGTCATTGATTAATTGATGTTTATAACTTGTAATTTGAGTGCATATGCTGTTTAATGTAAATGGCAGATGCGCGCAGCTGTACATGAAGTTGCTACTTATTTTCCAACAGCAATAATCAGTGGAAGAAGCAGAGACAAGGTGTGTTCAATTCTGAGCCCAGTTGGAGTTATTAGGTTTCTTTTTTTATTTTCTTTTTAATTATTTTCCTCCTTATTTATTTTATGAATTTAGGTGAAAGATTTCGTGAAGTTAAATAATTTATATTATGCTGGGAGCCATGGCATGGATATAATGGCTCCATCAATGCCAGTTAGGTCATCTGAAGGCAAGCACTGTGACATTGCTCGTAATACAAATGTGAGTAATTTGGTGTTGATATTCATGTTGTAGAACGTGTGTGTAAAGGTATATAATAAAATAATCATATCTTTTATTAAAACTTATGGTATTTAATGTTATTGATATTAATTTATTAAATTTTGTGATATCTTATGACTTTTAATAAAAATTTACTATTTATAGATAAATAATGTGTTTCTTGAACACTCTTAAAAAATTTGTTTTTCTAAATTCTCTTCCGTTTATTGAATTATTAAAGAGACTTATAAATTAAACCAATTAATTTTGTCATTTGTCACTGCTCTGTATTATCTTAAAGCAAATGTCAAACACTCTTGCTTCGGATTATTAATGTAAATATTTTAAATTTTTAGGGCACTGAAGTTCCCTTTCAACCTGCGAAGAAGTTTTTGCCAGCAATTCGAGAGGTCAGCAAGCCATTTTATGGTTTTGCGTATTAATCTTTCTACTTTACTCATTGCTTGAACTGATTGGTTCTTCTATAGAGTATAAAATTTCGACTAGTAACTCTTAAAAGATAAAATAAAATCATTTATTTAGCTATCACTTGCTTTTATGTGATGTAGAGTTTAATTCTTGTTACTCATTTTTCTAAATAAAGGTAAAATTGGATGCATTAAATGTCAACCAAGGTTTTAAGTAATTAAGAAAGAGTATTAGAAATATACATAACAATAATCATCTATCTTTACTTAAAAGCTTAAATTAAATGATACAAGAGAAATGGTTAATGAACTCAAATTCTTCCTTTCTAGTTTCTATCAATACTTTCATGCATAATGTTATTACCTACTCCCTGCCAGGATACAACAAATTGAATGAACTAATTTATTGAAAGAAAAATAGCTTAATTTGCTATAAATATTATTCACTTCAGATTACCAGTAAATGTTGGGCAACTTAGAGGCTCAACAGTTCAATGTTACAACGAAAACTAAGTGTTTGAATGTTTGTGTGCGCAAAAGATATTAAGAAGACTAGAGAATGAAGTAAAGGAAATAAAAGGTGCAATGGTAGAGGACAACGGATTCTGCATCTCTGTACATTTCCGGCAGGTTAAAGAAAAGGTAATATTGAATTTCTATTGTTTTTTTCTTTTATCATTCTTTCTTGACATTTCTCTTTTCCTTATTGATTGATAATCAAGCAATGTTTATTCTCCTATTTATATATATATTTTTTTCAAAAAGCTCTATATTTAAAGGTAATGATTGTTAAATCCAGGATTATTACGTTTTGGAAGAGAAAGTGAAGTCAGTGCTTGAACAGAATCCTCAATTCTGCTTAACTGAGGGCAAAAAGGTATCCCATATCATAAGCATATTTAAATTTAACTGTTTATGATAGAATTAATCCTATTTGTTTTCTCTTCAGTAGTAAACAAGAGCACTGAATACTGTTATTTGTAGGTTATGGAAATAAGGCCATCTATAGAATGGAACAAAGGAAATGCTGTGGAATATTTTCTTGATACATTAGGATTAAGCAGTTGCAGTGATATCCTTCCTGTGTATATTGGCGATGACAGAACTGATGAAGATGCTTTTAAGGTAGAGGCTTACCCTACTCTCTTTTTCCTGCAACATGTTTAACTTTTACTTTGTATCATTACAACAGAATAGCTAAACGAAATTAATATTTTCTTAAAGACAAGGAAATTGTGTGTGATGTTAAATATATATTGTCTTGCAGAATGATATCTTCTCTGTTTCCATTTTTTTCCTTAATTGGTGATTCCTTCTCTCTTAGTTGATCCTTTGTGCAAAGCTGTTAGGTTTAAATTGGAGAGATAGGGGAGATATGAAATTTGTATAAATAAATATAATATATAATAGATTTCAAGGTTTGTTGTCATCAAGGGTAATTTACTGGAGGGCATTTAGTGTTTTGATCTTTGTGAATGATTGAGTTTAATATGGCAATAAAAGTAAATATATCAGCAGAATATTTCCATCACTTTATATATACCGAGTTGATAGTTATTCGACTTTTATCAAATTTCTGCAGGTCATACAGAGCAGAGGACAAGGTTATCCAATTATAGTGTCTTCAATTCCAAGAGAAACAAACGCTTTGTACTCTTTGCGTGACCCATCAGAAGTACTAATCTTCTTGTCGCGGCTAGCGAAATGGAGGAAAACCTCTTACTCAAGCAGGCCTTTAAATTTTAGTTAAGGCAAAGATAATCTAAATGAGAGTTTTGCAGTGCACATAGGTACTTCCCACAATGGATTTGGAGAAGTGGGATGATAGTTAATTAATTTCTTTTGAAGTATTTGGTTTGTAAAATAACTTTTGTATATTTCCATCTTGTGAAAAGGTTCCAAGAAAGAATAACTTCTTGAGCCATCTTTCAGCATTAAAACATTGATAACAATTTAAAGGGAGTAAAATCAGTTGTTTTCATAAAGACATTCATAATATACGAGCCTGATACTACAGGAGATAATAAAAGCCTACAAAGGATAAACTCTATATAGCAATTTTCTTACACTAAAAGACAACCCCTAACAATGGGGGTGGTAAATTGAAGATAACACGTGCTTTTTCCATAGCTACTGGAATCCCTCTTGATACCATCATAAAAATGGCACAACGTTAGGGAGAAAGTGAGTATTGTCACTGTTATCACACTGTCTTCTTGTGTACAAAATGGTCATCAGTCCAAGCTTCATCCTAGTAGAGGAGGCACAAACCGAAGAGGAAAATATTTCTGGCTAAGCAGAAAATCAGCATCTCTGTTTATTGGCTGGGTGCTCGTCTTGTTGAACCCTGTTGAATGCAACAAATCATCAGAAAGATCACATGAAATTCTGATAAGGTTGTAAGACAAAATCATCTACATCTATCTGATAATAAGTAACCACATTCTCATGAACCTAAACAATAATTGCTGGCTATAACCTATACACACATGGAATATTATTTTGTTCAATCTTCCATTTTTTTCCATACAATGTAAATCGTCAAAAAGCTTGTTAGACATTGCATGCGGAAGAGGTTAATCTTGTAACACAGAATTCATATCACCAAACATAGTACAGCGAATGGACTCGAGGGGACTAGATGTTGAGATGCAGATTGGACAAACCATCAATGACATAGTTCACCAAACTAAGCCTATGCCCGTCAATGAGATTAGGAATAGTTTAATAAAAATAAACTCAAGCCAACACCAAGATACTTGGCGAAAGAACTTTTTAGATTGAGCTGATCAAGCACAAATCAAATCAAGCTACTTGTGATTGGTTAATTTTGTAAGCTTGAATTTGGTATCCAAACGTTTTCTATGTAGTAAAGACTATGAAAGGAAACAAACTGAAATAAATGTAATTCCAGAAACTAGATTTTCATCTTTCTCAAATTAATTTCGTCTTACCAACAATTTATTGAAGGGGGTGCTAGATAAACACTACAGAGGGGGGGAAAAGGAAAGGAAAAGAAAGGAAAGAAAGCATTACCCAAGGATTTTTTATGCTGAGGGATTGCGCGGAGAAGAATGTATAGAATCTCTATCAAACTTTGTTAGCCTATTAAAAGCACTACGTGGGCGTTCACCATGATGTGATGATTCAATTGTACCTGAGGTCCAAGAGGAACAGACACAAGCCACTTATTGTAATCATGAGCTACATTTTTTAAGGAAATAGGGTAATGAAAAATCTCACTAGTACTAAGAATTGGTGGAGGATGAATGTCATATGAAACGTTGGCAACAGAGAAAGAACCACATACCTGGCCTCCTCTCAAATGTGTTGTGAAACTGGCCGCGGGTGGAAAATCTTGAATTCCAATTAGAAATTCCTTCTCTTCCATTATGATTATCCCTTCTGTCATATCTGAAATTTTCTCTGGGATAATCCTTTCTCCTGTAAATTCTCTGCAGGAAATTAAACATCAAAAGCACATTATGCTCTGTAAAATGTTTTATATCTCACAAGCAACATAATCCATTACTAAGACAGAACCAAACACATGTGAGTAGACCTTCACAAAAAATAGCACATTCACAGCTGAAAGGTTGGTATAAATATCAACCTGTTGGTAGGATGTTGGGTTTGGCAGGTAAGTCCCAGTCCCATCACTTAATCTAGGAAGCCAAAAGCCAGCATGTTGAGTAGTACCTCCAGGCAAGGCAGAAGCAAGTTGAGCTGTCATAACAGGAACTGGGGGACAATCCTGACTCGTAATGTTCATGACACCTGAAGGTTTCCTATACCATGGAAATTGTCCCCTTAAATACATTTGAAAGGAGGGACGATAAAGCAAAGACGCATCTGATTGTCGATTCTGACAGAACCGTCCATACTGCATATTCACCCAATAGCTTGTAAAATCACCATCCAAAATATCATGACTTTCTTTCACAGAATTATCTGAAGGTTCATCATGACTGGTACGGTTAACAGGGAAAGTATCTGAATGTGGAGTAGAATCCACATCGACAATTGACTCAGGAGTATAATGATTGCCTAGCGCAGCATCCATGTCCAAACTAGTTCCAGTATCAGTAAGAAGATGGTAGTTTGGGAACATATTAGGAACTTGAAATGATGGTCCAGAGGAACCACATGAAACTGGTAATAAAATTTGGTTATCAACAGCTCTCTTACTTGAACCAGGATCAACATGAAGAGGAGTGTCAGGAAGTGATGAATTAGGCACAGTTTGAAGAGTCTGAACACATGGTGTATCGGTTTCAATAGTTGTGTTCTCACTCCAGTCAGTGCCTACAGTTGATTTGCTAATCCTATCTCCACTAACACCATCAGGTTGAAAAGTCTTTGAAGATGATCCAATAGAGAAAGTAGAGGAAGATGGGTTGGCCCTTGAGGTTGAATGCAAAGGTGGGTAACTAGAGCTTGCTCTATAGTTCACATCACCCTTTATGATTCTTGCATCAGGTGGATCAACGCGCTCTCTTTCTTCGGTTAACCAATTTTGTTCAGTAGTTACAGCATAATCTTTTGGCATGTAACTTGTAGAACCAGTCTGCGAAGACGAATTACCAGGGCTGGAACCACTGTTATTAGCCATTTGCCTTTCATGATCTGAATGAGCTACTAACTCATTATAATCAACTGGTTCAGCAATTCCTTGCTTATTTAATGACCATTCAAATGAAGGGAATGGAACCAAGTCCTGAGAGTAAGGCATCACTTGGTCCGAAAAGGAATCAAAAGAAGGGACATTTGCGTGAAGCACATTGAATGTGTTTCCATGTGTGTATTCTGAAGGTAAAACATGTGCTGGTGGTGATGATGGAAAAGAGACACTACTTGAACTCGCATCTATTGGTGTTTGCAGACATCCATTGAAGTATGGAAAACGGTGATCTTCCTGATGCATCAGCATTGCCTCATCAACAGGAAGGCCAATTTCGTTATTGACACCTGGGCCAAAGTCATAATAATAACCACTTGAAGTATCTCCCGGGTCAACTGCATCTTCATATCTCCAATCATATGAAATCTTCCCGAAAGATTGCTGATTTTCACATGGAATTCTGATATTATGGTTGTCTAAAACTTCATATCTTGAACTGGAGCTATTGTCAACACTTGAAGGAGCAGAATGGATCTGTCCACTTTCTCTTTCTGATAACCCAGGATACCAATGTTGAGTTGGAACTTCACTGTACATATGAGCAAATTCTGGACTAGGGTAAAACCTGGTAAAGCGAAGCATGTCGTGAACATCATTTGATGAATATGTAGGATTTTGGCCTCCCTTAGTCAGTGCATTCTTCATGGAACTTGCATGCTCTATATTAGAAGTTCCAGGCATTTGTTTTGATTCTTCCAAATGCTGATAAATACCATGAGAAGCTTGAGCCCGATCAACCTCAGATTCATGACTTGTTGAAGTTTTAACATCATTATGTCTCACATAAAGATTATAAAAGTATGCATCCATCCAGTAACCATTTCCGTTTCTATCCCATGTGTTTTTGAAAAACAAATCAAATTCAGGTATTATATTATCTTTTGGGCAATCCAGCAATCTCACTAACCGCTGCACACCTAAAGCAATTGCACTCTTTATCCTAAAGGAGCTACCTGTAGAGTATATTATATATAACCAGATAATCGGATTAGAGACTCAGATAGAAGAAGAAAAAAAAATACAAGGAAAAATTAAAATAAAAAAAACAGTGCAATAAAGATACTTAAAAGATACCATATGTGGAGGACCAAATAGAGGCCACAAAAATAATCCATCGACTAGCCCGTATTAGCTCTAGACATATTTAATCACAGAATTAAAAGGACATCTGAAATTTGCCATAGTTTGGATCCGTAGTAATTTTGTGCATGATAATCTAAAAGTATGTGTAAAGATAAAAAAAAATTTATCAAAATTTCCCTTTATGGGTGAAAATATATTTATTAGCCAAAGTACCACGTTTAAAAGAAAAGAAACGGCTCTTAACAACATATTGTAGACACAACATCATGCAGCTTCTGTATTCAGAGAACAAATAAACATGGCATGCCTTTTTTATTCCTTCAAGCCACACCTTATTTCAAGTTCAACAGAAACATCTTCCTCACGAAAAGAATTGTTGATCTTGGGGTTTAAAAGTTAAATTACCTTTACTGATGCTCCGCCCCAAATTGTTATTTGCACACAAGGGATCTATAACATTGAAGTATTTGGAGAGAAAAGGTTTCTCTTCATTCTCTTGGCTACTTGGGATAGCACCATAACAGAACTTGCAAGAATTAAGAAACTGTTCACTGAAAAACAACTCTTTGCTATCCCTTCTTGGAGGCTTAGCTATCATAATTTGAATTCAGGCATATGGGAAAAGGAAGAAAAAGGACTATCAGCCACAATTCAGAAAACATTTTAAAAGAGATACGACGAACACATGAAAATTTTTTCACATACCTTTCATGTCAGGAAGTGAACTAATAGGCACTGGTCCCCACAAACTAATGCAATAGTTATTCCAATCAAATCTACTGAAGAATTCCAGAAATCGAAAGAGTACCTAAGATATGCCAGCAATAGGATTAAAATAACAAAAAATTTTCCTTTCCTTCTTTTTTCATAAGTCAAAATAATTTATATACCCCAAAGCAAACAAGTTTGTCACCTCAAGTGGTCCAGCAAATTTACTGCCGTAAACATGAAATATGTACACGACTAAAATTTCCAATGCATAGGTTGAAATAAGTCCATGGTAAGAACCCAGGATGCGGCTCTCATAGTAACACCAAGCTTTTATCAATATAATACTGCGCTTGAATAAATGATTCTGTCTTATCATATTGTCAACCTGGAATAGCAAACTTCTTGTTAGAGATCTTTGCAAATGAAGAAAAGAAAAAAAGATCTTGACAATTAGAACTTTTGTCAAAATGAATCACCTCCTCAAGGAAACAAAGTGCATTTAAACCACCAAGCTGATTAAAAGATATGTCAACTGCAAAATTTCCCACTAAGCACTTTATAATCTTCACCTGCCATTGAACAACAATAAAAATTCATGCAAAAAGGTAAGAAGAATATAGATAAAACAACCAAGCAGTACTTAACAAATAATTTTATCCACTACCATATGGCTGGGGGGGGGGGGGGGGGTGGGGGAGAGATGATCTATATATTTATCTTTAGATAGGAGCAACAACTAAGAAATAGAACAATCCTAAATATAGGGGAAGGGAACAGAAAACAAGACAATCCCATAGAACATTGTCCTCCTTCATTTCTTATAATGTTGCCATGATATTAATGAATTTACCATTGAAATATATAATACATGTAAATTGTGGGGGAAAAAAGTACACTGGCATTTGATATCCATGCTGGCTTTTAATGATATGTGAAAATATGCATATACAATTCAATCATAAAAACTATAATTGATTGGAATTTTTATTTTTGGAATATTATTTTATATCCATAATTCACAGTATCAATTCTACCAAAAAGAAAAGTATGCCAAAGCCTGTCAGTTAACATGATAGTGTTAGGTGCTGCAATGCAAATGAATGCAGGTAAGAATGGAAGCAAAGAATATTCAAAAGTCAACATTTAACCAGAGGGGGAAGATGACATTTTAAAATTTTGCATCAATTATAAAAAGCACTAACAATATTCAGAATCAAAACACTCAAACAGTTAAACAGTCAAACTAGGAAATGGAAATCACAAAACTTTCTTTCTAAAGTTCATCAGAAATTAGTACTTCATATACATTATTGTCAACTACAAAAATGCACTGGAGAATTGTGAATCAAGATAGTAAGCACATACCCCTGCCTTGATATACTGAACATCTTTCACTTGAAATTCAGCATTCTCATTCTTCTGTTCTCTTTCTAAAATATTCAACACCTCTTGGATGGAACTGTCTTCCAAAAGTTGATCCATTCCAAATGTTGTTAGATCAATATCCCCATCAGGTAAATAAGTCTTCAGCGGTACGGACCCAAATGGAAATATCTGTGGTATTAAAGAAAAAATGTCATTTATACAAGCACTCGACAGTATAAAGCTTCGCTTTGGAGATTGATTTTCTAATGTTTCTCGCTTTTCTTAGGCATAAGCAACCTGTAAAAAATATATAATTGACTGACAAAAAATTTGTATTACTATTGTTGGATGAAAAATGATATAGTTTTCTCCATTCTCTTCTCCACCTATTCCCTTGTTATTCCTTCTTTAGTCTTCTAAAGGATTTCAGGATCTCAACTTCTAACAAGAAAGCTATAGCTTCCTTAAAGAAAAATATTTAATTAATTGAACAAATAGATAGTGAACATAAAACAATCTACAATTTACATCTTACTTGAGAAGTTGAAAGAGTATGTAGAGAGAGACTAGCACATACAGGTTTAAAACCAATAATTGAAACTCGAGAAAAAAAATTATAAATATTCATACAACACGTGCTTTAAGAGTAGTAGTAGAAAGTAGTAACAACTTATCTATGAAAAAATATTTTAGAAGTACCAAAAAGAAGTTGACAAGGATCACAACTCTGCCAGAAAACTGTATGTAGATAAAACATAATAAAGAAAGTGTAGAACTATTTCTGTGCTATTATAATCCTTCCCAATCATGCCAGACCTCACTTCCCAATCTAGTTTCACATGCAGGCCAAACACATGGATAATGATCCAGTAATAGACTAATAGTAATTCAACCCCTTTTAGGAAATTGTATTAAGTGCCTAATAGATAAATTTCTTGGTGCTAACAACATCCACCAAAGCTTTACTTGACTGCTGTAAAATAATCTCATCAAACTTTGAGAAGAAAAATTGCATTTAAGCTTATTCAAATATTTACAGAAATTACTTTCTGCTTCTGAACAAACTACATTTGGATGGTAAAGGGTATAAAAACATTTTCCAAACTGCTTGAAGGATAGCCTTAATTAGATAATGAACAAATACATTCAATGATGCTTGTACGGCATGACGAGGTCACTATCTCAATTAATAATCTACAGATACCAAATAGATTCTATAACCTCAAAACACAAACAAAGGCCTAAGATTTCAATCCACAGCTATTTTACATCAGAAAGGTGGTATGCCATAAAATAGAAACACCAATTAAATAACTAGTATCATGAATGCACCAACCCAATTACTTATTTAATAACTACTATAATTAATCATACAAGAGAGCTTATATAAAAAATGTAACATTCAGACTGAAACAATTAACAAGGAAACTAAGAAGTAGAGTACGTTTTGGCACCTGGCTAGGGACATATTTCATGATCAAGCATCGTAGGTAAGACATCACAGCATTTCGATACACTTCTGATGCCATACTTGGCTGAATATGTGAAAGCAGCTCGGCAGCTCTAGCTTCAGCTTGTGACCATCTATCTTGGTCAAGCACCTTAGCAACTGTGGTTGCTTTACTGGACAAGAGACCATTTGGAATAAATTCTCCCTCACTCTGCATGGCTTGTCCTCCAGGACAATCAACGCAAATATTATCTCCGTAATAGTCCTTCCTCAGTGTCTGCTTATGGACAAGGAAAGTGAGTGAGAGAATTGACATGATTTATGTGAAGAAAGAGTTTAAGAAGCTACACATTTGAGTACGTAAAGTTCAGTGTCACAATGTGTGTCATGGCCATTTCATCCCAATTGGGAATAAAAAATAAAACTTAAAAGTAGAATCTTAAATGTTTTTAGTGTTATTTTTTAATTAAAAATTGAGATTTATTGTGGTAACCAACTTAATAAAAGTTAATATTAAAAATAAATACTCATTTTCAAAGTAAAACTTTAATTTTTATTATATAGCAATAAAAAAGCACTTAAAGTACTGTATAATGAAAAAGTTAATTAAAAAAACATATATAGGCTGCAAAAATTGACGCAAGCTAGCAGATTTAACTCCGTCATTTTAGTACAACTCTTCAATGAATTGAGCATAGGCAGTTGATGTTTTTCTTGTCAGCCGTAAAGTAACAGATAAATCATTTCAACGTTCGTACATAGCAAAAAGAACGTTAAGGTACATTCTTGATCATTGAGCCAAGCGAAAGTACGAATTAATTTAGGAGATCTGGTTCTTTAAATTCTATATTAAAATGTATACCAACCAAACAAGGCCAAAATTATATTAAAACTTTATTTATATAATTTACTTGTAGCTGCGTAAAACCAAAAATTATATTATTAGAGTGACGGTAAACTACAATAGCGCTTGAAAAATATATAAAATTAAACGAACAACAAAATATTAAAAATTGATAAAAATTTTAGAAAATGGATAAATTAAAAGAGGAATTATATTTGCTCAATTTTATACGCACTCTCATCAGATAACACTCATAATAAAATTTTATCAAATAACAGAATAAAAATTATTTCTTTCTGAAATTCCTTATATTTCAGAACGATTTAAGGTTTTCAGTCAAACTGACATGCAGTCATTACTCCTTGAAGGTCCGTTTGAGGTTTTGGTCAAACTTACACGAGGTCCCATATCTTTTTCTGATAAGAAAATTATATTACTGCTAGAAAACTCCGAAATTTTTTATGTTAAATTGATATACGGTCAGATCGAGCATTTTTAATCTGTTCCATTTCTTTTTCTCTATCCAACATGGTTAACAAGCAAACCTCGGCCCCACAAAAACACAGCAACATTTAAAATTCAATAAACGCACAGAGAGAGTCATGAGTTCGATGTGGCATTGAAACACGGAAAAAAGAGTGAAAATCCTTGGAATCATCGAAACCGAAACCACTTCAGTCGCTTCCAATAGTTGCAAAGAAAAAAACGGCTTATTTAGTTTTTTTAATGTTTTTTAAATATCTATTTATTAAAATAATTCAAAAATACTTTTTTTGGAGTTTTCTTTTTTAGTGATTATTTTGAGCATCTTCACGTCTATTCTTTTATTAATTTTTATATATAATAATTTTTGTAATGTTTAATAGATTAATAATATTAAAAACTTTATATATTTTTATATTTAGTGTAATCTGAGGCATTTGAAATTCTTTATAATTAATAAAAATACTAACTAGTATATTTAAAATACTAGTTAATAGATAAAATTTTAAAATATATTATTATTATTCATTAGCTAAAATTTTTAGAATAATAAAACAATTTAAAATGAAAAATATACAAATAAAAATATCTAAATATTTTGTTAAAATTAGTTATTGAATTTACTATTTTATTTTATATTGATAAGGCTCATTGTAACTTTTAAACTATTCAAATATTGTCTTAAATATTTATGAAGAGGTAAATAAATAAGTTTGGACGTGGGAATAGTTAACCCGTTGGTTTGAACTACTGTATTGTACGATGTTCCCTCACTGTGTTGTTACATTATCATTCCACAGTTTTCTTAGACTTTTATAATTATAAAATAGCTTAAAATATTTTTTAAATAAATTTTGTATATTATAAAGATGAAATTATATAAAATTTTAATGCGTGTTATTATTTTTCAAGTTTCATCTATATTATGTACAAAATTGTTTTAAAAAAAAAATCTGTAACATGCAAAATTAATTCTAAAAAATAAATGTTATATTTGCGAGGTGCA